AGGGGGAGGAGCGGGACGTGCCGGCCTCACGCTGCGGCGCGTCACGTCACGTGCGGCGCCGGCGGCCATGGCGGGAAGCGATCCGCGCAGCCGAGGCAGCTCCCCTCAGCCGCACCACAGCGACTGGGGTCGTCTGGAGGCGGCCATCCTCAGCGGCTGGAGGAACTTCTGGCAGTCAGTGGGCAAGGAGAGGGCGGCCCCTAGGGCCTCCCCAGAGGAGGCAGACGAAGAGGCCAGTATGCTGACGCGGCTGCCGGTGAGCGTGGGCCGCCGGCCCCGGAGGACCTGAGGCCGGACCGAGAGGGGCGCCTCAGTGAGGCGGACTCGGGGGCCAGGGAGCCTCCCGGCCCCCCCCCCCCCCCCCGCCTGTGTATGGCCCGGTCCTTGCAGCCTTTCTGGGCAGTGTCGTCACCTGGGAGCAACAGTAGAGCAGAAACTCCCTGCCGTTGATCCTTGGGGCCCCACAGCCGGGCCGAAGGGCGCTTCAAAACTCACCTTTAGAGAGCGCTCTGGTCACCAGCCAGGTCGCCCTCACGTTTTCTGCCCCCAAATCAGGTCTTCGGACTGGACGCCCTGAACGTCGGGTTAAGGAAATGCAGAGACCGTTCTAGACTTTCTGGTTAGCTTGGAAAAGCATCCAGTGCCTGTATTCTCAGCATCATCCATCCGGAGCTGGTATAGGGGTCCCCCAAACAAACACTCTCCGAGGATTTTTCGTCTTTTATCATACTGTATATTTCAAGTAACAAAACTACCAGTCGATTGAAAATAAATGACCTAAGTTATAAGTGCCTCAAGTTACAGGAGAGAATTACACACATTTACTGTTAAAGTTTTTAGGTAGATAGGAACAAGGAGGAGAAAGTCTTAGCAATTATTAAATTTCTGTATCTCAGCTGGACTGTTGACACGTCCTTCTAACGTCCATCAGAAATTGAAAACTGCAGGTTTAGATCGTCTCCCAGTGTCTTCCCCTTGCAGAGGTTCTTTGAAATAATAGATTGTACGGAGGAACTCGGGTGACATTTGATTAGATCTAGTGGTAAAATCAGAAATTCGTCCCCTTGGGAAGGATTTTATTTTGAAGAATAAATTATTTAATTAATTTATTTAGATAAATGATGTGGCAGAATATTTATGAGGATAAATTCAGTGAACTGATTGTTTTGCTGGGGAAATACCAGAACAATGGGTGATTTTTCAGGAATGTTTCAGTGTGTCAAAAATTAAGTGTTCGGTTATGATTCTGTCTTGATGGCAGGAAATTAACCTCAGGATGATAAATTTAATTACAAATACTATTAACTTGATCTTTGGTTATCTAGTGTAAAAACTCTTTGCTCATTATCATGATGGATTTAGTTATTATGGCGACATACTGTTCAGTTGACCTTTGGTTTCCCAGTATAACGTAATAATTATTTGTTATTCTGTAGTTTATTATCAAAAAACTATTTCCCAAGTTAAATTATTCATCCTTTTTACTTACTTGCTGCTTCCCTCTGTTTCAGATTGATGTACAGCTATATATTTTGTCATTTCTTTCACCTCATGACCTATGTCAGTTGGGAGGTACAAGTCATTATTGGAATGAAACTGTACGAGATCCAATTCTGTGGAGATATTTTTTGTTGCGGGATCTTCCTTCTTGGTCTTCTGTTGACTGGAAGTCTCTTCCAGATCTAGAAATTTTAAAAAAGCCTATATCTGAGGTCACTGATGGTGCATTTTTTGACTACATGGCAGTGTAAGTATCTAGTTTTATGAATTAAAGAGATGATATTAAATCTGACTATATTACAAGTCAGTAGTATAAGTTAATTTGTTTCATGAATTTTGGGTCTCAGTGTCCTTTTGTAAAAATTGGGAGTTAAGTTAAATAACTTCCTTCATAGGACTCTTTGAGCTTTCACATTTTGTTATTTCCCTGAAGTACCTTACTAGAGTATTTGAATAATTATAGGTAGTTGATATGGCAAGAAGTAAAACACATCTTAAAATTTTCATTACCTTTAGAACACTTGTTATTTTGTTAAATAGTAAATACTTTTCCTTATCCAGAAAAGGGATGGCCAGAGTTCAGACAGCAGTTCTTTTGCAGGGAAGAAAATAATTGTTAAGATTCTGAGAAATAAGATTTTGTTATCACTCAAAAGCACTGACATTTTCAAATATCATGGAGGTAGAAGAATCAGTGTTACTGAGCAGCTGTACTGTATTGGATTCTGTGATAGATACATTATGTATGTTTATTTATTTAATCCTCACCTGATAAGAAGGTCTTCTTGTGTTATGGATGTGGAATTGAGGATCAGCTTGGTTACGGATTTGCCTGAGGTCATGTAACTTATAAGGGAATGTTCAGATTGGAACCCCATCATGCTACCTTGAAAATACAAAATGTTGTTGGTTCTGGATATAACCTACTTTATCAAGAGCCCCAAATTTAAGTCATTGTAAGTAAAATTTAAAGAATATTTGTGCTTTAGGTAAGAATTGTTTAGCTGTGCTAGATTTAGTAACTATTTATAGGATTTTTTTCTTATTTTATTTAAGTTATTCAGACTCTTCCCTTATTCCAGTACAGATGCCATTACATCAAGTCTTATGAGACCACTTGATTAAATGATATGTTATACATAATTTTAACAAGTGCTGCATTACTCTAACTTGCTGGGTGTTACCTCTACATTGTCTCACAATGAACCATAACATTGAGTGTATCTGTGGTGCTATGGTACCATGTTTTCCCAGGGATGGTAGTAGTCATAGTTACTACCATTTATGATCAAATAAATTATTTCTGATCCTTATGACCCTGGGTTGATTGTTATTGCTCAGATAATGCAGATGAAAAAACGGAAGTTCCGAGTATAAGTGGCTTATATGACTAAAGTGGTGAGCCTTGGCAAGCTCCACCTGGCTTCAAAGTTGATTTTTTCTCCTTCTTGAATTACAAGGCTTCTAAGTAACTAAGACAACCACTAACCAGTTGATTTAAAGGGCTTTAGGTTTTATTTTGATTTGAGTAACTTTGTTTTAATTTTTGATAACATTGAATTGCTAGTTTAGAAATTTATAGCTATTGGAGGAAATTGAGTTGTCTTTTTCACACGATTCTTGGTTTGCTAGGTTATCTGTAAGGAACGTTTGAGCCTCCCTGTATATTAACTCTATCGAACTGTTACTGTTAATAGAAGTACCCTAGGAAACTTGGTTATATTAGGGCCCTTAGTCATTTTTTTTTCTTTTTTTACTTCTAGGGACATTTATGTTAACTATCTGTGTAGTTTATCTTTAGTACAGGGTTTCTCAGTCTTGGTACTATTGACATTTTTGGACTAGATGTTATGGGAACTGTCTTGTGCATTGTAGGATGTTTAGCAGCATCCCTGGACTCTATCTACTAGATGTCAGTAGCACTGCCCCACTCCCCGCCCTAGTTGTGATGACAGAAATGTCTCCGGACATTACCAAATGTTCCCTGGGGGTCCAAAATCTCCCCAGATTGAGAATCAGTGCTCTATGTGGTAAATTTTAACTATTTTAACTTTTGAAACAAGTGTTAGACCAAGTGTTTCATGAGAGAATCTAAATGAAAAATTAGAAAGTAAGTGACCCCTTCCTGGGGAAGATTTCGTCAGCTACTGGAGCACTACTACACCCATAGCGCCTTGCCACTCGGCATACATATTATAATGATGTCTCTCCACTGCCCTCCATGAGGATTGGGACTGTATAATCATTGTATCCCTTGTGTCTAGCAAATTCTCAATAAATTATATACTGTTGAATGAATAACTAAGTAAGTTTTTGTCTGTGTTAATTTTCTAATTGTGACAATTTTATACAGCTATAAAATGTGCTGTCCACATACAAGAAGATCCTCAAAATCTAGCCGTCCTATGTATGGAGCTGTCACTTCATTTTTACACTCATTGATCATTCAGAATGAACCACGATTTGCTATGTTTGGACCAGGTTTGGAAGAACTAAATACATCTTTGGTGTTGAGCTTGATGTCTTCCGAGGAACTTTGCCCAACAGCTGGTTTGCCTCAGAGGCAGATTGATGGTAATTTTCATGTTAATCTGTAGTATATAATAGTTCAAACACTTTGAGCTTGAACGTTAAATAGAAATTTGTTTTTTAATTAATTAACTCTTTAATGCAATGAAATATATTAATTTGGTGCATGGGAGCCCCCAGATTGCTATGGTTTGAAAGAATTAATTTACTTTTTATAAGAAGTAAGCTTCCTCTTACTTTCTCAATCCAGGATATTAGATTATATGAAAGCAAATTATATGCTGTCAGACTGTTTTGTTTGTACAGTATTTACCATACTTTAAAAGAATGTTAACAGCAGAAACAATTTAGCATCTACTTTGTGCAAAGTACTTTGACATATATTGGAATTTTTAAAAAGTTAAATTATCATCTTGCCATTATTCCTATGAAAAACAATGGCAACAATAGCCATGCAGTTAGTTTAGTAAGCAGGGTATATAATAAATACATATGACAGTGTAATCTGGTATTATTAAAATTCATTTATTGATAACACCTATTAGATACTACAGATGCAGAGATTTAAAACAAGCTCCATCAAAAATCTCCTGTCTGCCCTGAATGTAATTGGTGTAGGTGAGGGTGGAGACAAATACACAGGTGATTACAATATGGGATAATTAGCTTCTGTGTAGAAAGGTAAGGGTCAGAGAAGGTTCTGCTTTGAACATGATGCTTCAAAGAATTATTAGGGTAAGTAGGAATAGGTCATCAGAAAAAGAGTAAAATATTCTAAGCTGTGAGAACTACATTTCTAAAAGCACGAAGTTCTGGGTGTGCATGACACATTTGAGTATCCGTGTGTCTAGAGTGGGGCTAAGTGAGAATACACTTATAAGCCGGGAGCTGTTGAAGGATTTTTAAGCAGAAAAGTGGGGATCAAGACGGCATTTTATTTAGATCACTCTGCTCCTGAGTAGATAATTGATAAGAAGGGACTATAACTATAGGAAGACCTGTTAAGAAACCATGATAATACTGTGATAAAAATATGAAGGATATAGAATGAACTGAATATGTATTAGCAGTAATAAGGATAACTCCAAGTTTCTGGTGTGATTTTTGTATTGGATGATGGTGCCGTTCACTAGGACAAGGAAATACAGGAGAAAGAAGAGAAACTTTTGATACAAGTAGAGATGCTTGCTATAAGCAGTCTATTTCAGTGGAAGCTCTGTTAGGACAGGAATCTTGTCAGCTTTATTCTTAACTGTATTTGTGGTCCCAAGCACATAGTAGGCACTTGGTATAGATGTGATGAATTAATGAACAAATGACCTTATGGATTACTTTATGCATCCATATGTCAAAAAGGAAGATCTAGGGCTAGAAATGAAAATCTGGGAATCATATGGAATCCACATGGACTTGGAAGTTTCTGAGGATAGAGAGGAAGATTGTGAACTAGGTGCTAAAATTTTCAGTGAATGTTTAGAGGAAGGTATTATCAAAAGGAGATTCATAAATGACAGTCAAGGAAGGGGAGATGGTACTACAGCTAAATGGTGTGTGTCTCAAAAAGATGGAGTTTTTTCAAGAGGGCTGGTGAGTAATGATTAAGACATGGCATTGAGGAATAAAGAGAACATTCACTTCATCTCTTTACCGTGAAATATGAGAGAATAAGCAACTTTGTTTACTTGAGAGCCTGCTGTAAGAGAAGCAGCCCCTAGGGGCTGACCAGTTTCAGGTAGGGCTGTGAGGTAGAAGGAACACTTCAAGAAGAGGTCAGAGATATGGGGAAATTTGCTGTTTGTGAAGTGGCAGTTTCATTCTCCATACAGCAGCTGGAGGTTTTTTGTTTTTGTTTTTGTTTTTGTTTTTTTAAATGCCAGTCTAATTGTGCCTCAGACCCTGCAAGATCAGGGAAGAATAGAGGGATGTGTCATTGGCATGGTGATGCAGAACAGTATGGAAGTCATATTGGGCTGAGGTTAGATATATTGAGAGGGTAATTTCTGGAATTTAAACTGATGAAAACAAAGATCAGAGACATGGTTGAATTTGTTTCTATGATCTCTTTGATTTGGCCAATTGAGGCCAGGGAACTAGGGTCACTATGCCTGGGATGCTTGCAGTCCCAGCCACCAGGATCTATATATATGTGTTGCCTGGAATGGTGACATAAAATGGCATGGCATGGCTTTTTTAAACACCTAGATTGGTTATAGTACAGGGATTAAGGATATGAAAGGTGCAGTTGTACTAATGAGTTAAGTAGAGGCCAGAATTATTAAAGTTTTGTTCATCTAAAGAGCAGTGGCTTTGAAGGAAAGAGACATAATTAAAGGCATTTTTAAGCAATCTCTTCAGCTCTAGTCAGAAGAATAGAAAGTAGGGGGCAGAAGTGGATTTAGGAGACTAGTTAGAAATGATTGCGGAAGTCCAGGTGAGAGATGATAATTTAGACAAAAAGGTGGGGGCTGAAGACAAAGGTGGTCAGATCTAAGAAGATATTTATATAGCAAAAAGAAGTAAAGCAAGGAAGAAGGGAAGGATCCTTCCAGGAGACAAGAGGAGAATCAGCCCCTAAGTGTTACACAGCCAAAGAACAGAAGAAGTTAAAAAAGAAGGACAAATAACCATGTTGAATGATTCAGAAATAAAATAGTAAGAAGCTAGTTTTAGCACTTGTTACTTACCAGTTACCCTACTAGAAGTTTTACATATGTGATCTCATGTAATGCTTACAATAATCCTAAAAAGTGTGTATTTCTGTATTTTGATGTCAAAACTGAGGCTCACAGAAACATGACTATATGTGGCAAATTTAGGATTCTAGCTCACGTCTAATTCCAAATCCCAGTGTCTGCCATATTTCCTCAATTTTCTAAGTTACCATAAATTTAAAAAACAGCTTTTCAGAGTGGGAGAAAAAGCCATCTCATTGAATGTATACATGGAGTGTAAGACAAATGAGAAAAAAAATGAAACCAAGTGTTGGCCTTAAAGATAAGTAGTAGTAGTTGTTAAGATGCAGCTGCTACTGATAGTATGATAATAAAGTTAATGATGATAGTGATGATGGTATGACAAGGAATGTTAAAGCCTGGAAGTTTTTTGTTCTTTATTCATAGTTTTATTATTGTGTAAATGAAAATTGCATACAGCAGCTTTTCTTCACAGACATTTCATTTTGTTCCAAAGCTATATATAACTCCTAGAGTGTTTTTTGTTTGCTCTTTTTGGTTATACTGAGTAATTTTTTTTCGTTCTGATATTTTGCTGTCTATATTAATGACTTGTTTTGGTAACTGTAATTTTCTCCTTTAGGTATTGGATCAGGAGTCAGTTTTCAGTTGAGCAACCAACATAAATTCAACATCCTGATACTATATTCAACCACAAGGTAAGGCTACCTACTTGGCAGCCTACCTGAGACCTCAGGAATGGAATATTTTAGGGGGATGGAGCCTGTTTAGTGTCTGTTAATGTTCTTACAGAAAAGAAAGAGATAGAGCAAGAGAAGAACATACAAGTGCAGTTAACAAGATGTTCAGTCTACAGAATGAAGGGGATGATCAACAGGGAAGCCGGTACAGTGTAATTCCACAAATTCAGAAGGTGTGTGAAGTTGTCGATGGGTTCATTTACGTTGCAAATGCTGAAGCTCATAAAAGTAAGCATTATCTTATTTTCTTTTTAAAAGCATTTTCTTTGCAAAGCAAGTAAAAGAATATGTTTTTAGGCTTTACTGTGGCTTCTTAAGAATATGAGGGCGAATTTTATCAGTGTGATTGTATTATTACTGTTAATATTAGAATCTCAAACCTTGATGTGCATTGGGATAACCAGGGGAGCCTGTTAAAAACATAGCAGCATGATTTCTACCCTGGTGGATTGTGACTCATGGATTTAGGTTGTGTCTCGGGCATCTGAATTATTTAGTATCTGATACATACTAAAGTCTGATACTTTAGCTAGGTAGTATTTTTTATTGTATGCTTCTGCACTTTTTGCTATCGATGTTTTGTCTGCTTTTGGCCCTATGCAGATAACTGAAAAATTTTACCTTTATTTTAATTATCTGGATAATAGATGTGTGGATTGGAGTGTTGAAGTAGATTAGTTATGAAAACTCCATATATTCTAAACAATTGTCATTCACAATGCTAAATAGCATGAAATTAGAATATTATTGGGCCAAGCCAGTATTTTAATTTCTTTCCCAAATCCTTTGTGAACAATGTAGGGCATAAATATACAATACATTGTTCTCACTTGGAACAAGGTAGCAGCAGCCTATTGCTGAAAGAATTTAAAGTTTATGATGCACTGAAACTAACTATAGCAACAAAAGCCAAATCCTGCTCAACTACTGACTAGTTGGACTCATCCCACTGTATTAATGGCCTGACAGAAGGTGTGTGCCAATTTCTAGGTAAATTCTCTTTACCTCAGTCTCTTCTGTGCTTCCACATAAAACATCTAGCATTAAATTTAAAATTACAAGATATTATAATTTATAATATATTATTAAAAAATCAAAAGGAAATGACCCATTGTCAAGAGATAAATCAGCCAATGGAACCAGACCCAAAGATGGCATGAATGTTGGCACTCTCAGAAAGGATCATTAAAAGAACTGTGATCAAAAAAATTAACATTAAATCTTTGTTTTCTATTATTATATAACAAATTACCACCGACCTAGTGGCTTAAAACAGCATGTATTTATTAGCTCCGAGTTCTCTATGTCAGAAGTCCGAGTACAGCATGGTTGGGTACTCACAGGCTGAAATTAGAGTATCAGATGGGTTGCATCCCTTTCTGGAGGCTCTGAGGGAAAATCTGCTTCCTAGCTTACTCAGGTTATTGGCTGAATTCAGCTCCTTAATGTTACAGGACTAAGGTCCCTGTTTCTTTGCTGGCTGTCAGCTGGAGGCTGTTCTCAGCTTCTACAGGCCATCTTCATTCCTTGCTATGTGACTCCCTGTGTCTTCAAATCCAGCAATGGGGAATCCCTCTTACTTAGGAAGAATCTCATCTTTTTTAAAGGCTCACCTAGTTAGATCAGGCTCACTGAGGGTAATTCCCTTTCTTGAAGTCAACTGTCTTATAATACAGCCTAATTATAGCAATGGCAGCCTAATCATGGCAGTGATATCCCATCATGTTTACCAGATTCCTCCCACACTCAAAGGGGCAGGAGTTATACAAGGGTTTGAGTCATTGGAGTCATTTTAGGAATCTGACTACCACAAAATGTGAGTGATTTACACTCCAGTGAAAGGCAGAGATTGTCAGTTTGGATAAAAAAGCTACACTCAACTGTATGTTCCAAGTGTTTAAAACTAAGGCCTTTGAAAGGATAGTGATAGCTTAGAATTTGTGAGAGGAAAATATCTATATCAAAGTATTTTTCCTTTAAGCCAAGACATCTGAATGGTACTGTTTTTACTCTCTGATTTCACTTAAATTCCTATCCTTGCAAGGCTGATTAATATAGTTTTATAAAAGATCAGTAAATGAACACAGCAGTAGAGACAGTTTCTTGTGTTTGGATCCTGGTAATTTTTTGCTTTTCTTGTTTTGTTAATCTTTAATTTTATTTTATTATTTTAAAAATCATTACAAGTAATGCAAATTAAGGATTTTGACTACATCCTTTAGGACATGAATGGCAAGATGAATTTTCTCGTATTATGGCAATGACAGATCCAGCTTTTGGATCTTCAGGAAGACCAATGCTAGTTTTATCTTGTATTTCTCAAGCTAATGTAAAAAGAATGCCCTGTTTTTATTTGGCCCATGAGCTGCATCTGAATCATCTAAGTCACCCATGGATGGTAAGGTCCTATTTTCTCTCATGAGAAAAATCTTACATTATTTTTCAGTCTTTTAATTGATTTAATTGTTTTATTCTTTCCTACAAATTTTTTAAAGTAAAATAGCATTTATGAAAGTCAATTTTGGTAGCTTAATTAGTGGGAGATATTTGGTGTCAAAGCTGAGCTCCAAGATAAGTAATAAGCTTCATATTTGTAGTAATTATAAGACAGAGGTGACGATAATATTTTTTATCTAAGCTCTCTAGAAGACAAAACTTGAGCGACTCACCCAGAGTTTATTGGGATGTTTTTAGTACTGTTCTGTTATTAGTGTTTAGAAAAATGTCCCTCATAATTATAAGGTTTTGGGCTCAGTTTCTTATTGATAATGGTCTCTCTTTATCTGCTCATAGGTCCAGGATACAGAGGCTGAAACTCTAAATGGTTTTTTGAATGGCATTCAGTGGATTCTTGAAGAAGTAGAATCTAAGCATGCAAGATAATCCTCCTTAGTCTAGACCTTGGGAACTGAAAGCATCTGAAACTTGTTACTAAGGTCATGATGTGGATATTTGCTCAGTCAGCTCATTCTGCCCTGCCTTTTTGCAGGTAGGCTTTATATTGGATAGCTGTAGCTGCTGTGTTTTTTATATAATTTTTACTTTTTACCTTAAATCAATTACAAGAAAAAAGTTTCAGTGCTAGCATTTAGCCCCAAAATGAACCTTTAAAGATTTTTTTGATAACTTTTATATTTTCTGGGTTTTTTTAAATATTAAATTCTGGAAAAAAAAAAAAAACAAGTTTGTGCTTCTCTTATTATTTGTGGTTTCTATTCTTTTCAGTTTGAAGATTGCCCTGATGGAGAATAGCAAATTTACTAAGCTTTCTATAGGTTCTTTTCAAGGGTCCTTAACTGATTATCAGGAAAGAAGTCTTTATCTATTTTTAATAAATGTATTGCTTAAAGACTAGGATATTTGCTGGCATTTCGTTTAATATTATTGCCATACAACTTCTGTTTTTTTCCTCAAACAGTAGGAATTAACTTTATTTCTTACTAACTTTATGAATAATCATATTCAATACTAATTCAGTGAAAGTAACTGAAAGTTCTTGCTATGTCAGATAACTTTGAAAGCTTATGAAGTACTAAAGCCAAATTTTATTCCATACTCATAGAGAAAACATTCCAGAGACTCACATGATCGTATAACCTCCTCCTCACTAATTGCTTGCACTTTGCAGAGGAAACTTTATAGCCTTCCGATCTCATTGGAATTGAGGAATTTTAGGATTATAATAAAAGGAGCATAGTATTCTTAGTGGCGCTGCACCTAAGATTCAGCCTCCATTCTGCAAGTGCGTATTGTTCCAAAGAAAGGCGCTCCCATATCTTGGGTCCACTTATTCAGAACTTCGTTTCAGCAACATGTAGGTGAGGGCAGAGTGAGAAATGCTGACATCCTGCTCCTCCTGGGAAGATAGCCTCTGACTTGGAGAAGGAGTACTATTTCCTTGGCTCTCCCAGTCTAGATTGGAGTTTCCATCTTTCTGAGCTGGAGGAAGGGCGGAGGGAGTGGATCTTGGTTCATATCCCACAGACTCTTGCTGTTCTTACTGAGTTATAGTAAATTTTTTTTGAATACATGTTTCTTCACTCACTTCATTTCATCTGCTTCATTTGTTTTTTTTTTGAATACATGTTTTTCATTTCTTAGGACTATTTACAGATTTTAATGCTTTTTTAAAAAATTAATTTTCTCCAGTTTCTCTAGGGAGCTGTTGCATGAAACTCTTCATGCTGTTATACCAAAGGTAGATTCCCCCCTCCTTTTAAAAATATATATAGTTATGTTACCTCATTCATTTCTGATAATTTATGTCTTTTCTCTTCATGGTCACTCTGGCTAGAGTTTTATTGTTTTCTCTATTCTTCTCAAGAACCAGCTTTTGGTTTTATTGATTTACTCTGTATTCTATTTCATTGATTTATGCTGTAATCTCTTTGTCTGCCTCTTAAATTAAAAAAAAATACATTTTTTCTAGATTATTAAGGTAAAAACTTAAGTAATTGATTCTAGTTCTTTAAAAGAAAACATCTACACATTTTGTTATATTTTGTATACTTACTGTCATTCAATTACAATATTTTCTAATCCCTTTTGATTACTTTTTCAATCCACTGATTATTTAGTAGTATTGTTTTAGTGTTGTTTCATCTCTCTTTAATAGAGACTTTATTGTTACTGATACCTAATTTTTTAAATTAAAGAACATACTCTGTAAAATTTCAGTCTATTATTGAGACTTGCATTATGGCCCAATTTATGGTCTATTCTGGTGAATATATTCCACATGCACTTGAAAAGAGTTTACATTTTGTATTTTGTTTGGTGTGATAATTGGTATTTATCTATTAGGACAAGGCAATTGATAATGTTTAGATATTCTACATGGCTATATTGATTTTTGTATAGTTATATCAATTAGTAAGAGGCATTAAAATCTTCAACTGTGATTGTAGAATTGCCTATTTTTCCTTTTAATTCTGTCAATCTTTGTTTCATGTATTTTGATGTTGTTTTTAAGTGCACACACTTTTATGATTGGCCCTTTTAATCATTATAAAATGTCCTTTTTGCTGATAATACTCATGGTCTTCAAACCCATTCTCTACTGTTAATATTCATCACTTCAGCTTTTTAAAAACTGTTGTTTTCATGGTATATCTTTTCCATCCATTTTCATTCAACCTAAATCTGTGTTTATATTTTAAATGTGTCTCCTATGGATAGAATATAGTAAATCTTACCTTTTTCTTTTCCATTCCGGCAATACCTTCATTTTAATTAGAATGTATGGATCATTTACATTTAATGTGATTATTAATATGATTGTGTTCAGGTCCACCATTTTATTATTTGCTTTTTTATTTATCTATTCTTCACCAATGTTGTTTTTCTATTCCTTCTGTCCTATTTTGAATTATTTTAGTTTTTTTAAGAATCAATTAAAATTTTTCTGTTCACTTTTTAGCATATCTGCATTTTTAGAGGTTATTCTAGTGATTACAATATATGTACTTCTCAGAATTTTCTTATAGTTAATACTATACTAATATGTGTAATAAGCAGAAATACTATTAACTGTTTAAGCTCTATTCTCACTACTCTTTTTTGCTAACAGCTATTAAATGTATTATACTTTCGTATTTACAAATCCTAGAAGACAGTGTTAACAATTTTTGATAAAATAGCCCTATGTATTATAAAGAAATTAAAGAAGAGAAAATTTAAAAATAATAAAAGTAGTCTTTTATGTTTTCAACATACAGGCAGGCACACCTCTTTTTATTGCACTTCACTTATTGCACTTCACAGATACTGTATTTTTAACAATTTGAAGGTTTGTGGCAATGCTGCACTGAGCAAGTCTGTCAGCACCATTTTTCCAGCAACATTTGTTCACTTCATGACTTTATGTCACATTTTGATAATTCTCATAATATTTTAAGCTTTTTCATTATTACATTTCTTATGGTGATCTGTGATCGGTGATCTTTGTTACTACTCTGACTTGCTAAAGGCTCAGATGATGGTTAGCATTTTTTAGCAATTAAGTATTTTTAAATTAAGATATGCACATTATATCTTTAGATGTATTGCTATTGCACATTTAAAAGACTATGGTATACTATAAATATAACTTTTGTGTGTATTTGGAAACCCAAAAATTCATATGACTCACTTTATTGCAATATATACTTTATTGTGGTAGTCTGGAATCAAACATGCAGTACCTCTGAGGCATGCTTGTATATAAAATCCTGAGTCAACAGTTTTATTCTTTCAGCTCTTTCAGGATGTTCTTTTGTTCTCTTCTAGCCTCTGTAATTTCTTATAAGAGCTTATTCACTAATTGCATTTTCATTCCCTTGAATGTCATTTTTTTTTTTTTTTGCTTTTAAGTTTTCTCTTTATCTTGCTTTTCAACAGTTTTACCATATAATGCCTCGGTATGGCCTTCTTGTTTATCCAGCTTGAGGATTAATGATCTTATTGAATATAGAAATTCATGTCGTTCACCACATTTGGGAAACTTGGGGTCATTATTTCTTCAAATATATTTTCTTCCCCATTGTCTCCTCTTTTCTTCCCTCTTAGGTCTCTGTTGTATAACACGTATTACACCGTTTGTTATTATTTAACCTGTCACTGAGACTTTGCTTATTTGTTTCAGTCTTTGTTCTCTACACTTAATAGGATCAGTCCCATGATTTCATTTTCTGACATTTTTAATAGAAAAAATTACCTGTCAATACATTTGTTGATGGTTATTTTGTTCCTGTTTATTCTAGGAACTGTATGTCAATTATAGCAGGACAAGATTTTTTATTTGTTTTGTTTTTGTTTTGATGTTAGAGAATGTAAAAGTACAAAGTCATAGCTTGTTTGTCAGATGATGCTATAACTAACAGAAGACTATTAAATTCTGAAAAATATGAGAATGCTATCCCTAGATTTCCAGAAGGTGGTACTATTGCCACATGAAGAAAGACAGAATTTGTGACCAAAAAATAGCTATTTCAACTTAACTTTTGCAATTTTGATCAGATTGGATTTTCAGGAGTAGTTTCTAAAGTGTATTCTAGAGAATAGTAATTTCCTTGATAACTGAGTCAACATAGCCGTAGTTCTTAGTGAGTTAAATAAAGTCAAGCAAGTTCCACAGGACTTCTCACAACCTTTAATATGGTGTTACAACATATAAATCAAAGATCATTTACTTTGGGGCATGTCTCATACTAATGTTACTTATTTCATACTTAATCCCCATTCCACAGAATGTATTTAAGGACACACACATACACACTTAGAGAAAGCATTTTGGAGGAATTCAAACCCAGTAAGATATGATTTTAAAATATTGTCATGATAACCCACAGAATAGGAGAAAGCATATAAAGAACTATTACAAATCAATAATAAAAAGACGGATGGGGAGTATAGCTCATTGATAGAGTGTGTGCTTGAGGTGCATGAGGTCCTAGGTTCAACCCCAGTGCCTCTGTTAAGGGAAAGAAAACAAAATATAATGAAAAGACAAATAAGAAGAATGAGCAAAGGATCTAAAAAACATTTTCTCCAAAGAAGATACACAAATGACCAGTAAGCACATACAAAGACACTCAACATGATTAACCATCAAAGAAATGCAAGTCAAAATCACAGTGAGATACCATTTCATACCCACTCAGGTGACTATAATCAAAAAGACAGATGATAACAAGTGTTACTGAAAATGTGGAGCAATAGAAAAGCACATACATTCCTGGTCAGAATGTACAATGGTACAATTGCTTTAGAAAATGTTTTGGCAGTTCTTCAAAATGTTAAACATAGTGTTATCATATGACCCAACAGTTTCAGTCCTTAGGTATATACCTAAGAGAAATGAAAACACGTGCATACAAAAACGTGTATATAAGTGTTCATAGCAACATTATTCATAAAAGTCAAAAAGTGAAACAACCCAAGTGTCTGTCAGCTGAGGAATGGATAAATAAAATACTGTGTACCCATACAATGGAATAGTATTCAGCAATA